TCCAAGTTTGTATTGCAGGTATCAACTGTCATAATATTTATAGAATCTTTTCCCTCAGCACCAAAGTTGTCCTCTATTTTTTTTTATGATAAGAAATAGAATAATTGTTATCAATATTAATAAACAATTAAGAGTTGGACCATTTTTAAAATTCAACTGGGTCATCTCTAGGCCAACAGAGCTGACCCGGTTTAGTTTAACGAAGGCTGGAAGACATTTGCACCCGGATTTAATGGTGCACTATCACGCGCCACTTGTTGCTTTTTCTCACTAGAGCAGTTTCCGGCCCTTAGTGCCCTTACTCACCGCATTTAAAGCAAATTAAAGGTTTCCTGTATTTGTATATGTACTTGACTTCCACTGTTGGGCTGAACTGCTGTTAAAACTTCTTGGATGACCTGTTTAAACTCAGTTTTTGTTATAAAATTTGACTCAGATCCCTTTTGACATTGTTTATCTAAGTTTCTAGAGGGACTCTTCCCTATGGGTTTAATGTGTTGTCCTCTTTGATTCCAACTATTTGTATGGTTTTTGCTATCCTTGTGAGAGGTATCTCCATGTGAGGATTGGTTCTTACTACTGAACACTTGTTTCATAGGTCTTCTGCGGGGGGCATAATCTCGCTCGTCATCTGCTCTAGGATATTTAGAAGCTTCCTCATACTCAATGACGAACTCTGTGGACTCTTCAATAGTTAAAGGATCCCGGTTCAATTCTACATGTAACCGAGCTTTCTCACTTGATAAACCAAGTAAAAATCTGGAAACTGAGTCCTCTTGTTTCGTTTTGTTATCCCTATCTGGATATGCATTATTGCATAGGCTCTTAAGTTCAACAGCATAATCCTGGACAGATTCTCCATTTTTTTGGCCTCTGCATCGAAATTCTGATATGTCTTGTTGGTCTCAATAATACCAAAACGACTTTCTAATTCTTTGAGGAGTTTCTTATAATTGGACAAAATGACTGGTCCAAGCTCCTCAAACACAAACTCACCTGCATGGCCTTGTAACCTTGGCAACAATTGACTTAATTTTTCTTTGTCTGTCCAACCATTGTGTTGAGCTACTGCTTCAAATCTGTTTATGTAAGCTTTCCACTTCTCATCGAACTCTCCTTTAAAGGCTGGAAGTTTTACTGAATGACTGGAATTTCTGTTACCAAATATCTTTGGGGTTGAAATGGATCCACTCGACTGTGCTGTTTTTCCATCATCATGTCTGAGTCCTCACCAAGCTCAGAGGTAGTAAAACCAGTGGTTGATGGTAATCTCATCCTCGATGTCTTTCTGTTAACTCTGCAGGCTGATGTAGGTTTCCTTCGGATTCCACTCCTCCCTCTGAGTCTCTGGTCATCACTGTTGAATTCTCTTTCTTGGTTGGCTTGACTGTCTTGGTTAGTATTGCTAAAGAACTTACCTAAATCATTCTGTCATCCTATGACAGGCGCTTTCGATAACTTGGCTAAGACTGTTATTTTACTTTCATTGATAATGACTTGATCCTTTTGAGTATCATTTCCTTGATTGACATGACTGGCTTGGTTTTTATTACGTACAACCTTACCTAGATATTCCGTCATTCTGTTGAAACTCCACTGATAACCTGACTAAGACTGTGAATTAAATTCCCATTTACTAACTCACCATCTTGACTTGAGTGATCTCCCTCCGCTAAAGGAGTCATTTGACTTTGATATGGGACATTACCTGGACCAGTTTTAGTACAAGTCTTGAGCTTACTGTTTGTACTTGTAGAAATTGGACTCAAGCCTAAGCTTGCAACTTTGCATGGAGTCTGTACTAAAATGTTTGGGGAAAGTACCCTTTCATATGTGGGGTATATGTATTCATTGACTACTTGGTCATCTTCCGATTCTGTTAAGTTCTCCCCATCACTTGCTTCAGTGATGACATGTATCTCATGGGTCGTTGGCTTTTGTGACACTTCGCTGGTTTTCTGTGTCTCTGATTTATTCATTTCATCATCCATCATATTCCTATTCTCCTCTCCTTGAAGAGCTGCTTGGCGTCTAGTATACATGACTCATTGGTTAAAATAAAAGAACCAGTTCTAAAGAAGAGTTCGTATCTCTGGATTCACACCTAAAATTTGTGGATCCCACTTCTGACACCAAAAATTGTAACGGGATAGCGCTCAATGGCTATCCCACTTCTGCACCAAAAATTGTAACACTATAATGGTTACCGGTTCTAAAAGTTAAAGGATTAACTCCCCTTTTAAACACTTAGTCAACAACACTAACTCAAAATTTAAGTTTCATGAATTTATTGAGTCTGCTTCCAAATACAAACTTTTATTAAATATAATACCCGTAAGTCCCAACAAGAAGGTAAAAATATTCACAACAAACAAAAATAATCTATAAATTTTATAATTTCCAGGCTTTTCTTAACCAAACCCCTTTAAAACAAGTCCGATCCGAAATAATCCAGACATATGACTTTACTATAAATAAAGTAATGAAATATATGGAGATAACGAACAGTATTCAAGCTCAAAAGTCCATTAAACATTAAAAATAGGTGCAGAGCAAACACGGACCTCCAAAACATCAGAGATGGGATCAGGTGCCATGGAGGAGTGAGCATCCTCTGCCGACCGGTCACACCCGCCGTGTGCTCGTCATGATCAGGAATAACGGAAAAATCCGTCGACAATTCAGTGTGTAAATAATGGCCTAACAATTAGTATGAAAAACGTCAGTCAGCATTTGACTCAATGATAAATTGTATTTTCTGACAAGGTCATTGTATCGACCGTAGAACTTACGAAATGATGACTTTAAACGAGACTGCTGATATTCTTGTTTCATCAACTTATTTGTCAGTAATTTACCTCGTTTTAGAAATTGTACATACGTAGAGCATGCTCTTGCGTATCGAATCAACTGAGAGATATAAACCCCGTATGCGGGTGATGAAGGTATATTGCTGCATAAGTAAGGGAGGTTGACGATTGAAAAGTTAAAGTCATCACGTTTATCATAAAGCTTGGTTGTTAGATTACCATTAACGTCTTTTTCAAGTGAAATATCCAAATATGAAACAGATGTGTCAGACTCTGTAGTATCTTTTATCTCAAGCTCACCGGGATATATCGTATCGACGTAAGAATGGAAATAACCATTGTTAATTGACAATACGTCGTCGATATATCGAAATGTCGAGTTGAAGGCCACAGCAAGTATTTTCTTCTTTTCACTTATAAGATTTTGGACAAATTCTGCTATGTGATATGAATACAAAAAAAGGTCTGCTTATAACGGGGCGCAATTGGTACCCATGGAAATTCCAATAGATTGTTGGAAGACCTGGTCTCCAAAAACCACATAGATATTGTCAATCGGAAACTCAAGCATCTTTTTAATGTCAACTTCAGAGTACAAAATAGAACACAAGTATGGTGAAGATTGTACAGTGAAAAATACTACAATTTTACCGTAAGAAAATTGATTAATAATTTACATCGAGATCAGTCTTTAGAAGACAATATAGTACAAGTACTCTGATTAGATCCTTTAAATATAGCTGTAAATTCGTAAAATATCTATGTCTATACAACATGTGTCAATCCGACTTTCCTCTGTTAAACTTTTACAACGGTAACAATCAAGAGTAAACAAAGCTGACAATTCAATAATATTTTAAATTACATACAGGTAAAATATAATTGGATAATATATAAAAAAAAACAACAATTCAATCTGATATGTGAGTGTGATTCAGTATTTACCATTTATAATGACATGTTCAGTAGAAAAATAAGGAGGGATCATCTCAAAAAACATAAATATTACACTTAAATTAATTGCATATACATGCATGACGTTATCACGATTCCCACCTTTCGTTAGGCTTTATTCCAGGCCCGTAGGAATCGGGGGGGGGGGGGGGGGGCAGGAAGGTCTTCCCCAACAATGCATCCAGTACAGTGTATATTTATTTTATTTTTTATCATTTTTTTTAGTTTTAGTATTTAGAATTTTTATTTTTATTTTTTATTTACTATACCGCCTCGGAGTCGGGAGAGATGTACATGTAGATCGTCTTTTTTCGTTAATTGTAAGACGTATTCACAAAAAACAAATACCTTACGGAAGACACTTATAGTTAAGATTTGTCTTGGTCATTTGTCGGCTACTGTATAGGTCTAGTATTCTCAAAAACTATTTGACAGAATTCATATTCACGGCGATCGAGTGGTCAAAACATGCATGATTTGCACAATCTCCGACTTGCATAAGGATTCAGTTCAGACAGTTTAAACAGCTGTTATAACATTTTCTCTTCAGATAGTAAATATTACCGGGGGGGAGGGGGGGGTAAAAACACAACGCATCAGGGACTCGCACAGTTGTCCATCATTTTAAATTTCGACTTTTTGTATACTGTATGCTTTCTTGAATTATATATTTTGATGATTTTATATATTCTTAAAATAATACATGTATAAAGATGAATATTAGCAATATGTGGAAATAAAACCATGTATCAAATGTCCTCTACTGTGAAGTTAATGAGTATACATCATACATTTGTATATGTGATATTGTGAATTTGTAATCACTTGAAATTTTTTTCAGAATGTCCTTGAAACCACACCATAAGTAACATACTGTATATCAGTATGATGTCACGTAAATTACCGAGAAATTCAATCATGGTTCGATCACCCACTCCTGAATCATTAGCGGGATTCGTAAGTTTAGGGGACGATCATTTGATTTTGGAGGGGAGGGTTGTAAGGTTTCAGAAATAAAAAAAAAAAGTTCTTTAAAAATGTTTAAATAAATAATCTTTCCTTAACCGTTTGAACTTACCCCCTCCACCACACACGAAATAGAGCTTTCAAGTATGGGCACCCCCCTTCTTAATTTTTGCTTGACAATCTTTATAAGTGAGGGAAATAAATGATCTTGGAAATAAATTTTCCGTCCTGCCAAAAAAGCTCAATTTAAAAAAAATCTTTAAGCTTCTATCAACTACTCTCGTAGCTGACATCTGCACGAAGCGCCTTGGACCGAATTATCTTGCCATCCAAAATGGCAGTATAAATAGGCGAAAACTTCGATGGTCTCAATTTCACTCCCAGAAGAGCTATTAACAACTGTAATAAGGAATGTTTTGTTGAGGAAATAATGAAAGAATATATCAGGAATACATGGTAAGTAATATTTTGAGATGGCATTTTGAAAAACACGGAGAAATAAATCAAGAAAAAGAGCACTTTTTGTGCACAATAAAAATACATTTTTCAATGGGTGGCACTGTAGCTCTCCGGTCTGTGTCTATATTTTTTCCGGAGAGCTACAGTTCTGCAGCTATGATGCTTTTGAAACCATATTTAATTCAGTTGTAAAAAAAAAAATAAAACCGATTTATCCTTTATTGTTTTGACCCCGCCCCATTTTTTCAAAGATCTTGTTATTTTGAAAACTATCTCTGAATCAAAGCGTACAATCTTTTGTTTTGTACAATGATTTATAAAGCATTATGAATTTGGTATTTTTCGTGAATTCTATTGAGGAATTTATCATTTAAGTTAAAAAGAAAAGATACAAAATCATGGTAAACCCAGGCAGGCTCCTGACAGATACGTTGATGATACAGTGATTTCAACAACCTCGTTCCAAGTCAACAATTCTTAAATTCTATGGTCGTTAGAATGGCATTGTTATCAAATATAACCTGTCATTGAGTCGTATTTTGGCTGACGTGTTTCTTGCTTATTGTTAGTATTGTTTTATGCGGAATATGACTAAGGAATGTACGTGATCAGTACATAAGGCTCACATGGCGGGTGTGACCGGTCAACAGGGGATGCTTACTCCTAATAGGCACCTGATCCCATCTGTGAAATTTCTGGGGGTCCGTGTTTTATGACCTGTTCACAAATTCGTATTGTTTATATATTGTTTTGTTGCGGATCGATCACTGTTCGTTATCGCTACCATTTTTTATTTCCAAACATATCCACAATTTTGTGGACAAATAATGGACACTACTACCGTGGCTTGCGACGATGGTAGATTGAAGGTACAATTTCCAACTAGATTTAACTAGATGTAAACACAATTAATGAGAATTTAAGGAGAGCATTGTTTATTTCATTTGAATTATTTGAGAAAAGTATTGAAAATTGAGAAATCTTCGTCCAGTGAAAATGACCAGCCACTCCTACGTTTTGATGTAATGGTTACAAAGCGTTTACCGGTAATTGATTAATTTTGGTTTTAATTTTCTCTTCCAGGCCAATGAATTTATTTGACTTTTGCAAGCAAAATTTGCATGAAATACATTGTATTTTGATGTCAATTTCTGTACATGCAAGTATTCCAGAATATATTTTACTCGCCTTCCAATCTACCATGTATAATTTTTAAAATAATTTTTTTGTTTTTGTGGATTTGTGGAAATAGATTGGACACACACAAAAAAAAACATGGTGCGCCACGATGATTAGAAGCATGAGAGACTTTAGGGAATTTTGTCACGTGCTCTCAAGTCGATTATCACATCATAAACCGTACATTGAATTATAATTGTTGCAATACAATATGTGATATAACAATTTACTATTTTTAATGATTTGCTTGCAGAACTTTTTAATGAATGGACAATGATCAAGGGGAGATAAAAAAGATTTAAAGTCTGAAGTATTTAAATAAACAAATTAATAGTACTTCGATTTTATTTGGAACAGACGCAACAACGTAATATAGCATTTTCTTGATATGGAGGACAAGGTAATGATCCACAGCGGGTATGGACAGGATAAAACAACTTTCCGTCAAAATTATTACTTCTGGTTCCCTCAATATATATAGGATCATAGTCCAAACAAACGTATTCAGAAGGACTAAACTGATCGCTGTCTGCTGTTAGGATACCGCTGTACTGGATTGTCCAACCCGGGGGACAGGTGTTTCTGGCGGGGATCATCAACACAGTGGCGGGAACATAGCAGACGGCACATGGTACATCATCATCAATGGCAATTTTCCCATAGTTGAATTGATACTCCGCACCATACATCGTTGCATCAGCATAACCATCTTGAGTCAGCTGACTACTAGATAAAAACGAAGGATCATGTGGCAAACACATTGGATTTACTCCGCCTCCGTGCGTCGTATGCCGAGACCCACCGGCAACTCCTGATATCCAAAAAGGGGGGAAAATATAAAGAAAATATACTGCATTACAATTTGTAAATGTTCAACTTATGTATCTTGAAAATTGAAGAAAGTGACAAAATTCATCACTACATTTTCCCTTATTATCAAATAAAAACTTTTTTTTTGCATTATGCCATTAACCTATTTAAACAAAACTTTTTTTTCTGGCGGGGCTTGTCATTTGATAAAGATTTATGTTCTTGTTTACCAATTTTTTTGTTTTCAATTTGCTAATTAAAAACGAAACATACCTGAATACACAAGGATAGTACCATTTACAGCAGGACAATGTGGTCTTCCCCATCTGACATATGTGGAACTACCTGAAATAATTTTTTATAAATGCCATTTTGTCATTATATCAACGTTTAATTTTTCTTTTAGACAGTGTTCTCTTTAGATAAAAAAAAAATAGATTATGCAGGAAAAGAAAAATTTTCTTCCTCCTATATCTAACTGTGATTCCTAGTTGCATTTTCCTTCATTCGTCTTTGTTGTATTTAGACCGTTCCCTTTCTCCCAAAAATTTAAAAGAATTTTATTTAAAAAAAAACAAACCCTAAAAATTCAATAAATTTTTCAACGACATGCATAAGGGAAAGTCTAATAAATACACATGTACTTTATAATTTTTAGATATTTTTAAAGAATTCTTGGAATATCTCCTGGACAAAGAAGCTTTCTTCGTCGACAAAGGTCTAAGCTAGTAGATATTTCATGTAACTCCATGGTTAGATCTAAAGATACACGTGAGGCTATACCAGTCGGTTAATAGTTAATGATCAGCGTGATATAAAACTTGTTTAGGAACTTCTCACTTAAAATGAACACGAAGTTACAAACTGTAAATTAAATACTTTGTACGGACATTGTATCTATTATTACAATTTAAAACTTTACTGTCAAATCAATATGCAAGCAAATTTACAAATTGCACATTTGGGCCAGCTTTTAAAGTCGAATATGCAATCAGAAGTAAACGGATCTACAGATTTTCATGCTTAATCACAATAATATGCAAGCAATTTCAGAGAGTTAAAGATCCGAGATTCTTCAAGTAATGGTCCATCGACAAGGGTTGAACCACCAAAAGGTAAAATTTCAAGTTTTATGTAGAATTGCTGGTTTTCCAAGATTTTAATAGGAATTTCAAGGTAAATGAGAATTCTATTTTCTGAAAAATATATCTGACCTCCCATATGGTTCTTTAACACCTTGTTTTCGTGTTGCAGTGAAGTCACGGCAGATTTAAGCTGCTGGACCTCTTCCTGTAACTGGATTAAGATGGAGGAACTGTCAATCAAAAGACGCTTTGAGCATAAACCAGGATATACATTTCCGGTAACAAACATCACAAAAAGTGGAAAGTTTGGAACGGACGCCATTTTAAAGAATACGTTTCATAGATAAACATTATCATAAGGACTAATTTCATTCATAGACCTACGGTGTAGGGCAAAGTTTATCTTCAAACAATAAATTAAACTGTATAATAAGGACATAACAATGTTGTATGTTATATACCTATTATGATTTTTTATAATTAAAGAATACACTATTCTGCACATTAGTGTGATGTTGTAAGTTTTAAATTCACCAAATGGAGGTTAGAACTGATACAAAATTTGCAAAATGACATCTACATGTATTTAATGTAAATTTTTTTGTTTCCTCTGGTCATTAAAAACAATCCTTGCATGTAATCAGGATCAAAAGTAAATCTTACTTTTTTTTTTATTAATACCTTGGAAAACAGGAAAAACACGCTTTGTTAAATTGATTAACCGTTGTTTTGCTTTATCTTTTTACTTAAATTGATCAATCCATGTAAATATACATGTTTTTTAAGAACTCAGGGTATCAGATTGCCTTGTTTTCTTGTCACGATTTACAAAACAGCAAATTACTTTTCACAGTATTCCAAGCATACAAAAATTATGGAGTAAAATACAGTAGAGAACATCAAGTTCCATGAAAGGTCAAAGTTAACACTAATCAATGTTATCAGTATAAAATGACAATTGTGAAAATTCCAAATTCATAAAATGTCACAAGCACCACAAGTGTCAGGTTCAAATTAATGTATTCACGTTAAGAAAAAAAACAAACATGATTTACAGATTTTATCATTATTGATAGGTAATTTTAAATTTTATAACTAATGATTTTATATATCTATTCCGCTCTGAAAAGGGGGTTTTGTGCCTTCGATCGGTATGTTGGTAGACAAAGTGTTGTTTGCTCCAATATCTTGAGAATCTTTTGCTTGACAAACATCATACTTCGTACACTCGTACACCTGAAGAGTAGATGACCCCTTTTAATCTGGAGGTCTTAAGGTAAAAGTTCAAACTACTTTAGACATAGAAAGATCTTGACCGTTCCATACAGTACCAACCTGACACCTAAGCAGTCCCAGAAAGCAGTCCCCGGGACTGCTTTGGGACCGCTCTGGGACTGTTCTGGGACCGCTGTGGGACTGCTCTAGAAAGTAGTCCCTGAGACTGCTTTCTGGGACTGCTTTGTTCACTCATGCATGAAAAAGGTTCTGAGTGACATGATAGCTCCGCCCCTTGTCTATTCTGAATTTGCAGGCTCCCTGTTGTTGTTTTGTTTACTTTCAGCAGAGAGGTGTTAAGATAAAGAATTAAAAAAAAAACCAAGGATTTTTTTTACATTTTAATAAGTAGAGATAGATATACATATAATTACTAAATGTCTTCAGGGGCTCTAAATTTACACAATTGTAGTCTAGAATTAATTTTAAAAAATGAAAGTAGTTAAAAGGGAAGTCAGGAGACGACTCTTATCCTTTAAATTAAACTTTAATACAGGTGTTTGAAAAAAAAAATATCTAGGCCTATTTAATTAATTAATGCTAATTAAAACTTTAATACAGATGTTTGAAAAAAATATCGAGGCCTATTTAATTAATTAATGCTGTCAAGTACGGAATGTACATGTACTCAAAGTTTGCATTAGCCCTATTTAAAAACAAACCAAAAACAAAAAACAAAAAAAAAAAACAAGCAAACTTGTCATTACAATATGACATTCAGAGGGACGTACTGTACTGGATTTTTTTTAATTGAAAAGGCTAAAACCATATGCGTGCTAAAAAAGAGCATTCCATGCTATTTTTACCGCCCTCAAATAAAACCTAATAATTTATTAAATGACCATGAAATAAAATTATTCTACCATTCTCCAGTCATTTAAAACATTATATTTGTGAACAATTATTGGGGGATTTATTTATGAATTTGTTTTTGATTTATAAACAAGTAATTAAAAGAGTATTACAAATTTATAAACATTTTAAAATATTGGGAATTGTGTCTTATTTCTTATTTGTTTTGTTTGTGTTTTCCTTGCCGATTAATAAAAAGCAATACAAATGTATAAAATGGTGTCAACACCTGAAGTTTCAATCGCCTTCGGGTATGATTAGCAGAAAGTCAATGCATGTTATTTGGGTATCAGTGTTACACATCACTGAACATGCTGGTCAACAATGACACTAATTTCAATCTGTGTACTGCAAAAAATCTTCGTTTCAATAAATGTGTATAAATTTATTCGGGATTAATTGATTTTGAACATAATCTGAGGGTTCCATTCGCGTGATTTACAGATGTACTCTCAAACGTTTATATAATAAAAGTATTATTGTTTTCTGTTACATAGATAATTTAACGATAATTAAATTGGCAAGTCAGTGAAAATAATCATGACTGAAATATAATACACAAAGAATTTTTCAAAAGCTCCAGTATACTTAAGAAAACTGCATTCAGAGTATAGTATGGAAATCGGCCTTGCTCTATAATTATAAGGCCTATTTAAAGTTAGTTTTGATAGAAAATAAATAACTCAAGCTTAATAATCTATAAAAAAAAAAAAAAAAAAAAAAAAAAAAAAAAATGGAAACCAATATCAATCACAGTAATTTAGAAATTGATTTATTTTGGTGAAAAAAATTAATATACCACAAAACTGTGTTTAAATATTCATGGTATTTATAGGTGTGAACGTCATCTTTGTTCAATATTTATTATTTGTTTCTATACGCGTAGTGTGATTTTCTTAACAGTTAAAAAATGACTGTCGCATGAGAATTGATACTGCTCAGAAAGAAATGGATCATCAATTTCAACTGCCTTTTATAGTTACATTGTTTATTGGTAATCTCATTTCTGAGTAAGCTCCGCCCATTAAATTAATTAACCCCGCCCACTGGGACTGCTTTCTGGGACTGCTGGGACCGCTGTGGGACTGCTGTGGGACTGCTTTAGCAGTCCCAGAAAGCAGTCCCCGGGACTGCTCTGGGACTGCTTTGTGTCAGGTTGGGTCTGGTTGGTACTGTATCTTAAGAACCATTCGCTTTACAGACATCAAAGCTAATACATTGGCTTTAGATGACCCCATTGATTTTGAGGTCACAAGATCAAAGGTAAACTCGACACAGGAAAATATGGACCGCTCAATATCTTGAGAATTTTTGCATGACAAACATCAAACTTGGGACACCGGTGTCTACTGAGGAGTAGATTACCACTGCAGATTTTGAGGCCACAAGGTCAACTGCTCAATATCTTGAGAAAACTTTGCTTGACAGATATAAAACTTGGTTCACTGTTTCCACTTGAGGAGTAGATGATCATGACCAATGTAGATATTGAGGTCACAAGGTCAAAGGTCAAACTGTTCTAGACATAGGAATGTATTCTCTGCTCAATATTTTGAGAACACCTTTCTTTAGCAAACATCAAACTTGGTACATTGGTTTCCCTTATGGAGTAGATATGACCTCTATAGATTTTGCTGTCACAAGTTTTAGAGCATTTGCTGTATTGACATGAATTTTGGTGCACTGGTACCCTTTAAAAGTAAATGTATACACCCTTAATGATATTTATGTCTGATATACCGGTACTTAGTATTATATTTTCCTCTCACTAGTAGATAGTCAATTGTTCTCACTATCATTACGGACATTCTGAATTTAAAGTCGTTCTTCTTATAATATTACCATACAGGGGGCTTTTTACTTCTCAGACATTTCTTGTTTCCAAAGGGTAACAATGTACATTTGAACCGCTTTGCAGTAGTTACATAGTTTCCCTTCTCTGTCACTAGAAATTTACCACTTACATCTTACTGTTAAAAGAAATTTTCACATTGTTACACTTGAAAAAAAAATCATCTTGCTAAATTAGGAATTATCAATGGAAAATTTGTAAATGGTTATATATGGAATTATTGTTCCTTCTTCAAGCTCCCGACAATAAAAGTGAAAACCACGGTTCTTTCGGTTTAAAACGGAGTTCCCGAGTCACGATAGGCGTTAAAACGGGAAAGAGTCCTCACAGTTACGGCCGTAAGCGCCAGGCATAGGTCAAAATTTGTGCCCGAATTGTCTCTACCTGAGGATCGTGATGTCTGTACACCAGGGTTGGGGTCAATTACTTTGAAATGTAATTAATTACTTTCAAATACATTCATAATTTTGTCAATTACTTGCAATTACAATTACATTGATTTTTCAAATGTAATTAATTACTCTCAATTACTTTGACAAATGTAATTAAATACATTTCAATTACTTAAGTTTTATTTTTAAAAAATCTTGAGAACAAATACATATATAAACGGCATTGAGATACACAAAGCATTATGTACTGAAATGTTTTTACAGTTTTGAGTTCATTTTAATCATCATCAGATTTTCAAACACAGCATCACTCAAACGACATCTTTCTGGTCTGAACAGTTTTCCAGCCACGCTGAAAAGTCTTTCAACGGGTGCTGAAGTCACTGGTACAGCTAAATACCTTTGGGCTAAGCGAGAAAGACAAGGAAACGTGGAATGATTTTGACTTTAAAATTTTCAGAAACATTTTCTGGGACATTAAATTCATCCAATGCTATTGAATTCATGTTTGGTTCTGAATAAAGTTTTTACTATAGTAAACTTTTATTCAGTGTTTTTGTTCTTGGGTATTAGAGGGGTTCCCACCTGGACAAAATTAGACCTCTACCTATTGCCCTGGGCAGTGTGACATGCTGTATAAACAAATTAAACATTCTGAGACATTTAATTGTTGCACAAACACAAGCCCATGCCACACAGGTATACTGAACTGTGTATCTTTAAAAGCACCTTTTAAGAGGGCTGGGGGGTTGTGGCCATTTTCAGACTATATTGATCTCCTTTAGAAGAAGAGCTCCATATAAAGATATACAAAAATGATCAAATTTTAAAACAAAAATGTATGAAATTTTTCTTTGCCAAATAATAGTTGACAACTTAAGATATCATATCTAAAAAATTAAGTTATATCTGATGGTTAATTTGTTGACCCTCCAGCCTCCTTAAAACTTA